CTCATAGGATTCTGTGGTGATAGCTTCCATGTAGCTTCGTCTTCTATGGGAGGAACATCGAGGATGCAAACCTCTACAAATGAAGCGTCGGGGTCCTCTATACCCTCGAAGGTGGTTTGTTGCAGCCATGCAGCACCTTTTGCAGAGCCTCCAACGGTCCACAGGTCCCATCCTCCTACAGATTCGGCCAAACCCGGGTCTGGAAGTGCCTTCATGATGAGTCGTTGTGCGGGTGCTACCACATAACCAGTGTCAGCCGCATAATCCATGATGTTACCTTTATCTTCCTCTGGAGTTCCTGTAAATATGTCCATGAGCGAAAAGGTCACAATCTGAGGAAGGGTCCAACTGTGGCTGAAGACACCAGTTCGCCCGTCCCATAAAGACCGACATCGAGGGATCCAGACAAACCCGACGTTTCTCGTGTCGTCTGGATTATGATAGAGTACTTGAACTGTAGCGGGTGCGATTATATGGCTTGATATTGACGGAGTGAGTCGTTCAGCTATCTCCCTCAGGGGAAATGTATAATAGAATGCATTGAGTGTGTCTTCCGTGTAGATAAACACATCCTCTTCTGATGTCAGGCAAGACAGGGGAGGTGGCCGCTGTGGTTGGATGGGTCAGTATCCCCTTCTAAAGGATGACTTCGTCACTTGCCTCGCCTGGAAAAGAGACGGTAAAGATCCCTTCTGTACCCTTTTCCCAATCTATAAAATAAAGTTGCTCCTGGTTTCTGTCTGTGAGGAGACACCCAGCTAAGGTTCGCCTTGTAAAATTGGATCGACAGGTCCCAGGTAGCTTCCGTTCCGAACGTAATGTGATTTCTTCTGTTTTCGAGTCAAAGCGCCATAACCGAAACATGGTTGCTCGTCTGTAGAATTATCCGTCATTGCTCAGCGTTGGTGACCAGGTTTATAGACTCACTCATCCTGTATCTCTACATTTGCAATAAACGTAATTCCTGTGGAGTCAACTCGATGGTCCCAACAGTGCATCTCTCCACCAATATTGATTTCTCGGACCCTCCGTTTCTGTATGATGTTCCAGATCACCATTTGACCCCTTTTTGACATGGAAACCAAATGGATCCCGTCGCTCAGCAGCCAACCCCACTGTATGTCGTTTTCTACAGTCTCTTCAAATGACGCTCCTGGCTCATGCGATTCTATGGCATAGAAGATCATTGAACCTTGCGAAGCTGCGATGGATTTCTTCTCCAATAGACTAGTGATCTTCACTGCACGGAAGACAGCTTCGGCTAGCTGGTTTATGGACATCTCTTCGAGGGTAGAGGACAACGGCACAGGACGGAGTCTTCGCACACATCGAATAATGTGAA